GTAGCTCCCGCAGCGTGCGGGCACGCAAGACCTTGCTCTGCTCATGCGAACGTCATGCAGAGCGTAACGCAGATTGCATTCAGCGGACAGCGTTAAACGCGATGTCGCGGTACCACCTGCATCTCTGCTCACAGTTCTGCCGAACTCTACCGGGCTTGGTGTCAGGCTTCAGTAAAACATTCGTAAACGTACGTTGATCTTGTTAGCCATGACGCAATAACGCTTTGAGGCTAATGGAAGGAGACCCCACAACAATGCCGTTGTTTAACTACTTCATACTGACCACCAAAGCGCCACCAAACATACCTGCGTTGCGTCCCGAGGTCAGGCAATCACTTGCCCTAAGATCATCCTGGCAGTCACAGCAGCCGGAAGGAATGAACGGCAGCGGGTCTATTGCCGTGTGATGCGTTCGCCACAGGCACCAATTGAAATCATGCGAATGCATTACCCGTCTCGGCTCGAGTCCATTCATCAGCGCTTTTTGCAGGAGAATGGGATCGATTTAGGTTCAGTCTCTGTACAAAGACATTCAAAGTGGGTGGGCTGAATTAATTTTTTTTCGGCCGGCGACAACGTCTCGAACATGGTCCAACATTTGTCCGAATGCGTCGATAGTTCCACTGTCTCACCGCTCCGTTTCCGACCTAAAAACATCGCCAAATCATTGCAGACCTGACCGTGCACCCGTGAACCGAGCAACGCGCGTCGCCCCACACCCAGTGCGCCGGCCCGTACCCAACCGCCTCAACCCGCACCAAGTCACCAACCCTCCCCCTCGCAGGCCACCTGACGGGCCCGGGTATCCCGTCGTGCGTGAGGCGGTCCGGCCGCCCAGCGGCCGGCGCCGGCGGCGGCTGGCCGCCCGCCCAGACGGCTTCATCGCTCCCGCCGCCGCCAGTGTAGCAGAGGCCGCGCTCAAGGTGGGACGCGCGCGCGGCAGCACCGCTCCACCTGACGCTCCGGGTCCAAGACATCAACACTGGGTGACGTGAACGTGGACAGCAGCGACGTGGTGTTGGGCGGTGTGGACGAGGAAGTTGGGGACGTCAGGCTGGATAGTGTGGGTGCCGACGTCACAGCCGCGGTGTTGAACAGTGCACGCCACGCAGACCGAAACGGCTGCTGAGTCGTGCACTCCAAGTGGACGTGGTATGAGATAGCGTGCACCAAACAGTAGTGGTGCGAAGGGGTGTGCGTGTCATGTGCTTGCGAAGGACTGACAGCACAAGCTGTAAGAAGTCGCGTTGATATTGTCCATCCGGCGATCGCGGGCCGGTATTCACCCGGGCGCAGCGTCGCCACGTTAAAAACACGCCGTATTGTGCAGATCTGCTGACAGCCGTGCATATCATCACACTGGCATTTGCACACATCAGCGCGCGCCGCCGTGCAGAGGCCTGTGGGCGACAGTGCGCTCGTCGGCACAGGGACGACAGTGCATTCCTCGGCGCAGGGACAACAGTGGATTTCTTGGCACAGGGACAGCGGTGCATTCCTCGGCGCAGGGAAGACAGCGCGCTGGTCCCGGAGTGAACGGCGGAGTGCATCGGCAGACAGAGGCGTGCGTGTCACGGTGCATGACAACGTGACCGGGGTCACCGTGTCACCGTCCCCTCTTCGTCACCCTTGCACGTACGTTCCTCAGCCGGAGATCGTCTCAAGGATATCGCCTGGCGAGCGTCGGTGTCTCGCGCGGATGACGGCGCGGCAGCGGTGTTTCCACGAGGCAGAGGCCGGCTGGCGATAAGCCGGACGTCGAACGGTGAGTTGGCGCCGAACGACTGGCGCAGATTCAGTGAGCTCTTTTGTGCGAATGAATGCACAAGTGATTTATGTGATGAAGTTTGCGCAGCCCTCCTCCCCCGTTAGATGAATCGGATCCGCCACTGAGCTGGGGTTACGCGAGCGGATGAGCCCTCCTGGGACCGTGCCACCCTCTCGACAAAGGATGGTCGACCGACCCTTTCGCGGGTGCGGCGACGGATACGTGATTTCCAATCACGATTAGGGATGATCCGAGTATGCGTGCCCAGATCGTCGTGGGAAACGCCGCCAGATGCAGCGGGCCGCCGGGAGTCAGTCGAACAACTTTCGTGCGGCGTCGCACCGCGTCGTGCAGAGGCCGTAAATCGGCGTGCGCGCGATTACGTCTTCCGGGACTGGGCTGCTGGCGGCCTGTCTTCGAGGCTTCATAAGCCGAGATGTTTAACGTCGGGTTCATGAACTGAAAATTACGAACGCTAGCAGGTAATAAGGGTGGCTGCACCTCTGCGGGCACGATAAATAAGTCACGAGCCGGCCGCTGCATCGCCGGGTTGAGGATGAGATCTGTTTTCGGAACAATTCCCGACCGAGCGGTGCAGCCTGTTGATGAGGCGGCGCCGGCGGGTACGCCCGCCGCAGCGGCCGGATCGGCACAGCAGCAGAGGCGGCAGAGGTGGCGCAGCGGAGCGGCGCAGGCGGCGGAGGCGGCGCGGCGGTGGCGGCAGCTCTAACGTGCGTTAGCCGCCGCCTGCGCGGACAAAATTCGCGTCACAGCGCCACCGCCAGTCGCCCTGCGTCCGGCCGGAGCGCCGGCGTCGGGACGTCTCGACGCAATGAGCTAGTGATGGCGGACAGACTGTAAATCCGGCGGCGGCGGGCGTCAGCGGCTCCAAACGCGGCGCATTCCGGTCACGTTCACCGCGCGGCGCCGGCCGGCACGGAACAAGCGCCGGGGCCTGTCTGGACGGAAGGGTAGGGGTATCGAGCGCGGGTACCAGGAGTAGCACGCACGGGTACCGGCCCGGTCAGAGAGCAGGGATGCCGTTCTCCGGCGCCGCGAGGGTCCTCGTCTGGACCGGCACGCAGAGGGGCGGCGCCCAGTCGGGCAGGGAGGAGTCGTCACAGTGTCACAGTGATCGTGCGGTTCAAGGATGACCTGTCCGGCTCGCACGAAAGTGAAGGTCGCGGATTGGCTTTCATCCAGCGACAGCGGTAATGCCAGCTGATAGAGACAGCTGTCTGACGCGGTTATCTGTGCCAAGCTGAGTACATTTTCTGCCTGACGACGGTCACGACGATTTTCTACCCGATCGGGGCGACTGTTGACGGGAGCCAGCGCGCTCAGCTGTCATTTGCTCTCGGCTGGAGACGGATTTATGTGCAGGCCCGCAGCACACGCCAGCTTGCCCCCCCCCCCCCCTCCCGAGTCCTCACTGAGCTGAGACAATCCATGGTGCGTCAGCCGAAACCGCTGCAGCAACGACCACAGGCAGGGTGCATGGCTCGATTAGAGAAAGGGCACAAGAAGGGTATCAGGACACGTGTTGTCCTCAAGATGGGTCAAGCTACTGATGTGCGTGTGCCTGTCCACGCGATTTTAGGTTTTAAATTTGCAAACGCAAATGAACCCAGCAACTCATCTGACGGTCTGCCATAAAAAATATGGGCGTCGAACGGCACCGCGCGCTCCGTCCGACTGTTTGGCCGTGAGCTGAGCGCCTCGGCGCCCGGCCGGCTGTTGGGCCGTGAGCTGGGCGCCCGGCGCTCGGCCGGCTGTTGGGCCGTGAGCTGGGCGCTCGGAGCTCGGCCGGCTGCCTGGCCATGAGCTGAGCGCTCGGCGCTCAGCCGGCTGTTTGGCCGTGAGCTGAGCGCTCGGCGCTCGGCCGGCTGCTTGGCCGTGAGCTGAGCGCTCGGCGCTCGGCCGGCTGCTTGGCCGTGAGCTGGGCGCTCGGCGCTCGGCCGGCTGTTTGCCCGTGAGCTGAGCGCTCGGCGCTCGGCCGGCTGTTTGGCCGTAAGCTGAGCGCTCGGCGCTTGGCCGGCTGCTTGCCCGTGAGCTGGGCGCTCGGCGCTCGGCCGGCTGTTTGGCCGCGAGCTGAGCGCTCGGCGCTTGGCCGGCTGTTTGGCCGTGAGCTGAGCGCTCGGCGCTCGGCCGGCTGCTTGACCGTGAGCTGGGCGCTCGGCGCTCGGCCGGCTGTTTGGCCGTGAGCTGGGCGCTCGGCGCTCGGCCGGCTGTTTGGCCGTAAGCTGAGCGCTCGGCGCTCGGCCGAACCCTCTCGCTGTTAGGCGGCCGACAGGTCAGAGCTGGGTCCCGAGCTCAGCAGCCGACAGGCGGCGACCCTCAGAGCGCGCCAGAAGCTGTGACGAGGTGGCCGCGCGTCCGTCTTCTTTCACAACGCCGGCTCCAGCGCCGGGCGGCCGTCATTAGCCGAGCGGCGGCTTCCACCGCGGGGTCCATTGATAGGTGGTGTCCGCTACGCCGGGATTTGGCAACACGTTTTGTCAGGGCACGTCACAATGGGCCAAGGCCTGGGCACGAGGGATGTCTTTTGTGAGAGCCGGCACTCGTTGGGAAAGACGTGGGGGTATGTGCCTTTACTCCTCCAAAGACGTAACTGAAAGAAGAAGTGTTGAAACAGTAGCCTTCATCGACATGACTGCATTTCCTTATCAAGTGTGACTGTAGGCACCACGGGGTGTCATACGCTGGCACCAGTGCTATCAGCATCAGCTGCAGTGGAACAAAACATCTAGCTAAATCATACAACAAAAACACGGACACAGATATAAACAAATTTGCCAAAAACATCTTCGGGAACAATCGAGCTCAATGTCCTTTCCCTCTGATGTCCATGGGCTGATGTGAGGAAAAGCCTGCATATATTCATTAGTGTGCCGATGGTAGCGGTCCGGTCTGGAGGTGAAATACACCCACTTGCGGTACAAACGACATCAAATGACCCCAATAAAAGCACACGTTTAAAGGGCCAAAGTTTGACGCCATAGTGCTAGGGTATGCTAGCTTCGCTAATTAATCCATTGTCCCGGCGCTGGTTCGCTGCCGGCGGACCCCGAGCACCGCTTCCTCCCCGGCCCGCCCCGCCCTGTCCCGCCGCGCACCTTTTGCCGCGGCCGCGCCGCCCGCCGGGAAGGCGCACCGTCGTCGGTATCGATTGTCGTCGGTGGCGACGCGCGGGCATCGATCCTGCGCGGAGAGCCGGCGCCGGCTGGCGGGAGGCCGGCCGCCGCCCGGACAGGGCGCCGCCTCAGCTAGCTCCAGCCGTCTGCCCCTCTGGCCGTCGGGGACGGTGGCCTCGTGCGTACGCCGCTGACTTGATCCACCGACCTGACCGGGCGCAGCGGCACCGGCCGCGGCTCGCCACGCGGAGAGGAGGTGAGTTCGCAGAAGAGAGGCGGGGTGACGCGCGGAGCCCCGCTCCCGCTCTCCCGCCGTCGCCGGGCCTCCAAACCCGCACCATCCTCCGCACTGCTGGTGAAAACCGGGTCGATACACCATGCAGCCCTTACCGATAAACCACCAATGTATTCCCCCTCCCTGTGGCAAGCGCTGACTTATCACATTTGTGCCAGGTTGGCATCCAATACGAATGGACCTCCGCTGTATCGTTTATGTACCACCTATGCAGCCTGCAGGCTGTAGCCGACCTCCTGGTCGGCGCTGACGGGCTGCGGCCCCCGGCTAGACCACTCCTCGACTCTGGCCACCTAATTAGCAATTAGCAGCCTTGTAGCCCAGCCGCCCGAAGCCATCGCTTCAGCGAAGTCACGCTCGCGTCAAACGGAGCGCATTGGGCAATGTTCGACGCCCGGCGAGTGCACTGTTCCACGAGGGGGCGCGGCGAGTGGGGCAAATCTTCGCCGCTTTCTCCGCCGCCCGGACCTCGCGTATCAAATTGCCCGTGGTCCAGAGCCGGCGTAAAAACCTGATCGTCTGTCGGACGGCGGTATATCTGGATTGGAATCGGCCGGTGACGGACAGCGCCGCGCGGGAGAGCGCTGGTCGGCGCCGGCGCGGCAGCGCTGGCGGCCGCCGGGAATCCGCCGGCGATGGCGTAAATCAAGACGGCCGTTCGTAATGTGACATAACCTCACGGTGATAATTATACGCTGGGGAGACTGTGGGCCGTTGGCGCTGACGTGCGGCGGGTCTGGGAGGGAGGCGAGGGGGAGGGGATCGAGAGCGCCGCCTGCACCGTCTCACGAGCACGAGAGATGTCGGGCCCTGATCTGGATGCAGCGAGAGCCGGCCGAGCCCGCAGCCGTACCGCCGGCCGTCGTTTTCGCCCCGCCATTACAGCGCGGGCTATCATTAGCTCGCAGGCGATGCATGCCCAGCGCCGCTTTGCCGTGTGTGCCGGGGCTGAGCCACGGCTCACTGCCGGCTTACGGCGGCGGCAGGTGCGCCGGCGGTTCGCGGCCCGTTTCGCTGTCGGCGGCCGCGCCCGCCGCCCCAGCAGCCTGTTATTACTTTTGTCCGGCGTCAATTGGCGGACCTTGCCTTCGGCCGGCGTGAATGGTCGGAGCTGGCGGCATTATGCCCGGGCGAGTTGTCGACCTGTTGTCGTTGGCGCGGCAAACCTGGCAGCTTGTTATTCGGTTCGTATCGCGTGGTCGTCCCCGCAGCGGGTGCCGCCGCTGAAAAAGCGGACCGTGCGCGGGGACCCGGTCCCTCCCCCCCGCTGCGGTGGCACGCTGCTCGAGCCGAACACGACCGGGGGACTCGGGACGAGCACGCCTCCTGCCCGGGAAAGCAATCACGCTCCATGTAACATTGACGGCTACGGTCCGAATGCCTTGGCGATCGCTGGCCGGGCAACACCGGTACTGCCGTGCAGCTTTAACGACCATTGCCAGGTGAAGGTCAACACCACCTGGCCTGGCAGCGCTGGTTATTACTGCCCGGGTAATTCAGCAACCAATTTTGGGATAGTTCTAACGAACACTGCCCTGGTAACGCGTCAGCCTGGCACCGGGGCAGCTGGCGACGACCGATGCTCCGAACGACGACCGATATTTTTGACATCCACTGCTCCGATAACACCAACAGCCACCACCCGGCTAACACCGACAACCACTGTCTGGGTAGCACCGACAGCCACTGCCTGGGTCACAGGGCCCGCCGACGTCTCTCCATCACACTCCTCGGCGGCCGGCGGGCTGCCATTCAACGGCGCGGTGCCGCCCGGCGTGCCGCCTCCTCGGCCGCATCAGATCAGATGGCCGCGATACGCCTATTGGCGGCGGGCTTTTTCTGTTGACCGAGCGCGCCGGCCGCGCCGCCGCCGCGGCCGGCTCACGATTTATCGGCGGCAGGAATGCGTCGGTCGCCGCCGGCGCCGGCTCTTCGGAACAAATCGCTCCGAATGTGAACAATGCGCCGCCGCACCGCGGCCCGCTCGGCTGGCCGGCACTGGCCGCCTGCCGTACTGCTGTTCCGGTATGTACGCCGCTTTAAACGCAGCGTCGGCCGGGGATGACTGCTGCGGGTCTGGTTCCGCGCGGGCTTGACGTACGGCGGTGGCGCTGGTGCTGGCTCTGGCGCTGCAGACTGAGCTGGCGCTGGCGTGTGGAGAAGTAGTTTCACCGGCGGCTGCTGTATCGCCGGTGGCCTACAAGGCTTGTCGACTCTTACACAGTAATCAGCGGAACCGCAACCGGCTCCAGATCCGGACGTGGTCTGCGCTCCCTCCGGGCATATTTGGCTCGCGCTCCAGATGACTCCTGGCCGCTTCCGCCCCACCGACTGGCTACTAGTGCTCCAGACGTGTCTGGTTTTCGCTCCGCATGTTGCCGTTTCCGGAGCCGGTCGTGTCTGCCACACGCCTCGGATGTTGTCCGCTCAATGTTTAATGCGCAGCCGTTGCCCCAGGCATTGCCTGCGCACGCTCTCAACACGAATTCGACTGGCGACGCCGCGGACAGATTCGTGAGACAGCAGGAACGACGCTCCCCGCGGTCGACCGCCGCTCCGGAAGCGTCTGTCACCTGCCTTCGCATTGTCGCGCCGTTAGGAGGAGGGGGAGGCGGCGACTCTCAACTCGGCCCCTCCTCGCCGGCGTCAATGTGGGTGGCATTGTGTGAGCACCAGCGGCGGTAAACGCCGCGCATTACGTGTGGACGGTGGGAACCAGCGGGCAGCCGCGGCCGGAAGCGGGCGGGGCAGCTCCTATGGTTACGAACCGCCGCTGGCCCGGGCCGGGGCGGCGGCTCTCTCCTCCTCGCCGGCCTTTACGCGGCCCGGCAGCGCGCCGACGGCAGCCCCGCTCCCGTGAGATTCCGGTCGCGTGTCCCACTACTGATGCTGTCAAACTGAAGCCGCGTGAGAGGGGAGCCTGAGAGCCCCTGCGCGCGTGCACGTGCGCCGCCGTCAAATTGAAAGCGATCGTGCGCCGATTCAGTTGCTGATCCGTCCGCCCGCGATGCTAATATCGCGTCGGACACGAGCGCGTCGCTCGCGGCAGCCCGGGCGGCGGCCATTCCCCTCCCCAGGCATCTCTCTGTGTTACATGCTGCAAACGTCTGCTTGATGTGCCCCGGGGAAATGAGGGGAGCCCGGGCCGGATGTCGGCATAATGGGATAGGCTGAGGGGAGCGGCCGCGGACCCAGCCGGCACCGCGAGCTCGGACAAGCGCACGGCTTATCGGGGGAGGCCCGGCAGAGCTGAGGAGAAATTATTCCGTACGGCTTGTAGAAAAGTCTGAGCAGTCATCGTTGTTACTGTTATCGACCAAACCCAAAGACTGCGTGCAACCCGAACCGATGCTGAAATCTGGATGCATCCCGGATGCCTTTACGTCCACAGTTAGCTGTATGGAGTGACAGCTCTGGGAGCTGCCTGCGGTCCTCTCTCTATAGTCAGAACCACCCGATGGCCGCCCATGCTCACATCATTCTGTCAGACGTGTCATAAGCATGACCAAGAACTGGCTGAAATCGTTTTAATGGAGCAAGTTCCAGGTAAAGACCAGTTTCTCAAGTATATTGATTTCGAACGAAGATTCTGGGACGTGACTGGAAAGTTGAGTGCATGAGTAAAACTCCTGGTCCAGTGCCGTCAGCGAACAGGAACAATGAATGCCATCACTGGCCGCGCTATGCATTTCTCAGACATCTGGATGTTATGCCTCAGCATTGATTGCCTTTTCAGTTTTTCAACTGAAGGCGTTGGAAAGCGACAGCCGGGATTCTGCTGCAGTTTTGAAAAAAAAATGAGTCGTTGACCCAATTTTGCGGTCGTAAAACATCGGCAATAGATTATATCATTAGATATTATAGAAATAATCGGCATTACAATGGTTTTTATCATTCTAAACGTGCATCAAGCACTCTCCTGCATTTTAGGGAGCATTTTGTTGAACAGTCTCATTTCCACAAAGCAAACTGGCAACTCAATTTGGCCTGAATAGTAGCGTTGCCATGGTAACCTAGCCATCGATTCTGCTCGCCGACTGCGACGGTGCCGTGGAGCGGGGTCTCTCCGGGGCTCTCGACCGACCGCTATGGTCGATGTCCGCTACGTAACAGCTCGTCCCGGCTTCCCCGCCATCCTGGATCACTGCCCAACCGTAATTGGTCCGGAGGCATCTGGAAAATGTCTGTATTCTGTCCCAGACGTTTGATGGAGCGGGTCCTCAGGCCGGGGGATCGACCGCCTCCCGGAGCGCAGATATCAAGCTGGTGACGCATTCAGAACAACATGCTCACCGAGTGGTGTTCGAGAATGGGCTCTGAGCGGCCTGCGAAGTAGTAAATCAGAGTGACAGAGTGAAAGTAGCTACGTATGTAATGAACATAGATTCCGAAAATGACGTCCCGAAAAGTGGTGGAGGTGCTATCAGACAGTCCATCACGACGTCATAGAACATGGTGGTTGCCATGATCGGAAAAGGAAATCCGTGGATGGAAAAGGCTTTGATTGATAGGTAAGAGAGAAGTGAAGGCGCTAGGGCCGTGATCTCTCCTTAGCTTAAACGGCCTGACAACTGACAGGCTGTAATCGTCTTTGGCATACCATCCTTTCAGCACACTGTTCCTTTACCACGCTGTCCCTTTGGCACACTGTCCATTTAATTACCTTCACGCTCGGTAACGTAACCATGTTATCTTCTAAGCGTAACTTGAACACTAAGCTCCTATCAAATGATTTCATATACCTGTTTAGGGACTGGACTCATCGCTTGGAGAGCGCCGATTCAGCTTTGTCCGAGTATGACGGCCTGCTTACTCCCCATTCGGCGCGTGTTCGGTTGGCGCCCATGCGTCGGAGTCGACTAGTTGGTGGGAGTCTAGGGCAGTCTGCTATGATTCGTCGGTATGCGTCGCTGTACGTCAGAGTCTGATGGGCGCTTCACGCCTGCTTACGCGTTCAAGCG